ATGAAACTGCTTTTCTTTTTTTAAAAAAAAATTTTTTACAAAATTTTAGATTAAAAAGGCCTTTTAAATTCTGCTTTACCAACCACTAACTCTAATAGGACCACAAAATATATAGAGAGAGATCAGATCTCAGTTTTCTTATTGTTCATATAAAATTTTCAAAAAAAGTGTATATTTTTAACTATTTTTGCAAATCTTTACTATTTTTAGTAATTTGTTAAGATTTTTGAAAAACTTTAGCTATTTATAGATATTTCAGGGTCCTCTTTAATCATAACATGGTCACTATTTGTTTTGTTTTAATTAATGTAAAATCAAAACAAACAAAATAATTGATTGATCAGGGGTAGTGATATATTACTATGGCAATAAATAATAATTGTTAATAATGAAAATAAAAAATATGTACAATGACTAAATATAATATTTAATTCATAACAGTATGAATAATCTAGTTATATATAGATTTATATTTCATGCCAAAAGCATGGAATTTAAATATAAACCCATGTGTGTAAGTTGGTTATTTATATCTATATAATTATATAGGGAGTCAATAGAAAAGACAAATTGTTTTTAATTGATAATCTGTCACTCAACTGAAGAATTTTCTATATTAGGAGGTAATGCAGATTACATATAGGCAAGCCTGAATTGAAAATTTCACATTATAAGTAAAGTCATTAATTTTTTTAACAAATATAGAAATAAAGTAATACAAATGATAGAACAATACCAGAAGTTTCTAATTATAAAATTATTTAGTATCGATTTTTTTTTGGTAGACTTTACTTTGGATGAACGCGGCATTTACTAAGTTAAACTTTAATATAACTAGATCTATAACCCAAAATAAGGTATTTAATAATGCCTCGTTTTTTAACTTTTTTTATAACAAAGTTATGGATGTATTTTAATTTTTAGGCTTCTAGTAGCATATTACATTTAGTAATAACTTCATGGGCGGATTTGTAAAATATTACTACTACATTTTAGTACAAATGTAAATCCTTTTTGAGTTTGCTCCCATTATGCCTTTTTACAGTATTTCGGATTCAAAAAGGTTAGTATTTTTCAAAAGATCAAATTTTGTTTTTGCAAAGTATATTTGCCAACACTTTTCCTCTCTGATACCAATCGTTGATTCAAATAGCTAAGGTATTTGATTTTTAAAATAAGCTATTTACTCTGCTAATATTTTTTTTGCTAAAAAATCAAATTGATTAAAGCCGAGATTCCAAAGAACCTAAACTTATTACACATGGCTCTCGATATAACGAATATTGCTTAATACTAAGAATAATAATGATATAACGAAACAAAGAAATAGAACAATGGCCTCCGTTACATCGATAGCCACGTGTAGTTTCTTGTAAGTATTTATTGGCAGATAAGTATTTATGCTTTTAATTATAACATAATTTTAAATTCATGTATTAACAAATGATCTTTGTATTCATAAATTGAGCAATCAAAACGATTTGATGGATAATATTTAACGATATATCATATAAGCATGAAATAACTCTTGTGGGAGTTATTTTGGCATCCAGAATTATAAGGTAGCACAATTTATTTATTACAATATATGATATACAGTTGGCACTTTATATACACACTCTATAAGTGCGCACTTTTCCTATAATAATAATTGCACACAATTTGATCGATCTAACGTAATTATTTAATATAATAGTAGATATTCTCCATAATGAACATTCTATATGAAGGTTGATTATATTGGATTTAGAAAGTTTACATGGCACATGAATGTATTTGAAAGGTCGCACAGATCAATTAATTAGCATAGGTAGGCATTATTTCACGCTTATATAGTAGGTATTTAGATTCTTAATATGTAGACTTTATTTATTTCATGTAACAAAACTTTATATTTTTCTCAAATCTCAAAAATCCCTTTCAGACTGAGGTTTTCCTAGTCCATTCTTCATATTTGCGGATGATTAATATGAATAAAATTTTGAAAGGCATTATATATTAGTAAATAGGTATTTATGTGAACTTGATTTGTTTATTTTAATGCTACTGATTAACAATTAATCTTTATAGCCATAGATGATTAATGCGATTGAAGCAACTTGAGGTTTATTATGTAATGGAAGTATTCATATTCTTCATATTTAAATTAACTTGATAATTTAATTCCGCGATTAATGAATATTCTTTAATTCTCAAGCTGAAAGGATATTTAACGTAAATGAAACAATTTAATGATATTATGTAATAAGTATTTATGTAGCTTTGTCTGCTGATTTTGCAAGGAATTTTTTTGGTTATTGATAATTCATTTGTTGATTTATTAGAGTCGACTGTTTATTATAAATAACAGTTTTCTCTGTTGATAATCAACTAATTGGGCCTTTTTTCTGGTTCAGAGAAATAATTTGTTTAAAATTTTGCCTATTATTTAATGTCATCTATTAATAAATTATCTTTATTATTACAGGCTAATGAATGATTAACGCGAATAAAGCAATCTTAGAATAAGTACTCATATTTTTTGATTAGATTGATAATTTTAATGATGATTTTTTACTAATGTCTTCGTTAGTTATTGCTGTCAATTGGAATATAGGACAGGATTAAATTCTAAACAAGCAAAAATGATTAAACCCCTCAAACAAATTTACCAGAATATTTAAACCTTTCATTGCCAAATTTAATTAACGCTTACCAGAGGTGAAATTTGCCATATATCCATTTCTAGAGATGGGATTTAGAGTTAATACCTGGATCTGGATTTAATCATTAAATCCGAATTTAATGATTAAATTTGAATTTAATAATTAAATCTGGATTTAATGATTATAGCTGTTCTTATAAATTCTGAGACAACTGATAAAAATTGTTTTAGTCAGTGTTAGTGACATTGGATTTTGGTGTTACAGCAAAGTTGATAACACCAAATTCAAATACTTATCGAATTCAGCTGATTGATCGGGCAATTTTTATCATTGTCCCAGAATTTATAAGAACAGCTATAATCCAGATTTAATGATCAGATCCGAATTCATATATTAACTTTAGGTGGGTTCTTTAAATATTCTTTATAGCTATTTACCAAATACTTATGGGTTTGGGCATCTATAAGTAATATTGAATAGATACCCAGATTTTTACATAGATACCAAAATGACCAATAGATTAGTTTATTTATAGTAACTAAGAATTTCGTGTAGTTAATATTAAATATTCATGAATTTATTAACTTTAAATTTGAAATAAATAAATATATACTAGTCTAGTGATTTTAAATACTTTTTGTTTATAAAACTTTATTTTTTTATTTAATTTATATACATTCAATACATAAATTTAAACTAGTGGGGGTAGTTTGTATAAGATCTAAACTAGTAGGTTGTTTGTATAAGAACTGAGTACTAAATGCAAATTATTTGTACGGGTTCAGTGGGATCTAGATAAGTGAGTTGGGGCCATAAGTAGGAGGTGAATTGGGTTAGGTATGCTCTTAACTAGCAAAAGTTAGTTTTGATTAATAAGCAGGTTTTAACTAGCAGATATATTGGGTTTAACTATATATTGGGTTTAACTATATATTGGGTTTAACTAATAGGTGGACTAATTCTTAATTAGCAGGTGGGTTCTAAACTAGCAAGTAAAGAAATTTAATTAATTGTAAACTACGTGTATGTACGTATGCAGATACATATCTGATATATCAGTATGTATCATATAAAATTTTTCATATTTACAAATTAGGATTTTTATTAATTAAACTGCATTATGTTTACTTAATAATTGTAGATCATTTTGTTCTGGTAAATGGTGGATCATTAATTAATGAAATTTTTTTAATTTTTAAATTAAAATATCTCAACAACTAATTAATCAACTTTACTAAAAAATTTTTATTTTAATCTTAAAATTATATAGAACTAAATAAAAAAAATTTATTAAATTTGATAAGATAATTGCCAAGATATTTAAGCCTAAAGTCAAGAAAACTTTTACTTAGAAAAAATTTGTCTCTTTTCTATTAACTTACCCCCATATAATTAGTGATGTCAATAGGCTGTATTTTTAAAAAATTCCATTTAGGTTGTTTTTTATATTTCAAAAATTTACAGAAATGTTTCAAAATTTACCTCACCTTCAGAATATTTCAGAATCCAGCCAGATTTATGATACTGTCTAAATTATACAATATATATATCTTGTGCGGCATGATGCTAACTAGGGTTGTGCCTCAACTAATAAAATCAAATACCAATTTAGTTAATTAATGATTTATATACACCCAACTTTATAGGTTGCATATATCTTTTTTAATAAATTTTATAAAAAAAAGTAATAATATCTAAGGCCACGCAAAGTTGATTTTTTATTTTGCGTTACAGTCTTTTCCTCTATAGTCGACCCCTATATAAGCACATCATATAAGAACCTCTTTATAAGCACATCTATTTTAAATCCAGCTATTATAAACATATAGAAAAAAAAATCTCTATATAAGCACAATACTTTATAAGCACATTTTTTAAAAAAGTCTATGATCTTGACACGGTAAGTATAGAGAGGGAAGACTGTACATGGATTTCAAAATTAGGGACGACCGATTTTTTTTGTATTTTTTTTTTAAATTCAATTTACTGTAAATAGAATAATGATCACATTTAAGGTTATATTTGCATAACAAAAAAATCAAAAAATTGGGCCAGCAGTATATTTTTTCTGTTAGTTCTATCAGACAATTACGGGGAATTAAGGTCTCATTGGGTGATACTAGATGAAAATAATGGGAAAAAATAGATGTCAAAAATTGAACAATTGAGATCTAAAAAAAAAATAATAATTTTTGAAAAATTGAAAAATGGGATGGCAGATAATGCAAAACGAAAAAACAACTTTGCATGGCCTAACGAATAATTACTAAAAGTTTATTTTATTAAAATTTGATTCTTTTAGAACTAACAAATTTGCAATGTTTATAAGGTAGTTAAACTTTAAAAATGGCAAATTCAATATATTGAACTATTATTTTTAAAACCTAATTACCAAATTTGCAATATTTATAAAGTAGTTAGACTTTTGAAATGGCAAATTCAATATATTGAACTATTATCTGGCAAATATATATGATCATGGCCCAAAAATGCCTTGATATTTTTTAAGTAATTATGACATAATGCTGAATATTCAATTTTTGAGCAAATATCATGATTGATGCAATCAATAATTTTAACGAAAATTTACTCAAATTGGGCCAGAACAAATTATTTAAATTTATATAAGTGACAAAAAGTACTCGAATTACAACATTGTATTATTAATGCATTAATTCTATGGATACTGCCATTTTTTTCAATTATAGTCAATTAAAAATTAAAACTGCAATTATTAAAAGTATTTCCCATAAGAAATTTCTCAATAAAATCTTTATTTTGAGGATTTCGATTTTCTTTAGAGTTATTACACTCTTGACTTTTTTGGATACTTTCTTGATGACCATTTTGTTCATGTTCAACCAAGGCTTTTCGTGAAGGATTATGAGTAGTATGTGGAGAACTTTCACTAGCTTGTGGTGATCCTTCATTTTCATTCAATTCATCATTTACATCGAATTCAAGACTGTCTATGCCATTTGCAAGTGATATAAGTGAATTGGTCTGTTTAAAGTAAGAACTTGCCATTACAAAATCACCACTTAGACTAAGAGATTCTTTTACTATATAATCTGTTACTTGTTTTTCAGTTATCAATTAATAAAAAAAAAAAAAAAATTAAATTAAAATTAGCAATTAAATAAATACCTTCGGTTGATGTTTTTTTATTCTTTATAAGATCATCAAAAAATCTACCAAGGCCTTTATGCTGCATAATTAATTTTAGTCATTCATATGCAGATAAGCCTTTTTGTAATTTATGTCTCGTGATTGACATAACCACGGAATCCGAACATCCAAGCCCCTTTAATACCTGAACTACAGTTTTTCTTCCCGAATGGTTGGATATACTATGACTGCCAATTTCAATATTAGTGGCTTTACATATTACCCGAAAATAGTCCCTTAATATTCTTTTACTAAGCGCATGTCTGTAAAACCATTGACCATTAAATTCACCTTTTAAAAATAGTTAGTATTAAATACTAAATAGATAAATTCTAATTATAAAATAAATATTTACCAGTATTAACAGGCACAGGTTTTAAATAAAAATTCTTTATTGTTGTAATTGGACGTTTAATAAAATAAAATTCATAGTCATCGGTAAGCTGATTGTTTTAGCTTGCACATCATAATTATTTATGCCTCGTTGGTTTGTTTTTGACTTATATAGTTTCACATCAATACCACTGTCAAATCGTTTTATAAAATTATCAATTTGGGGATCTTGGTGTTCTCCTCCTCGCAATGCTAATAATGTTGCATTGTAGAAAAAAATATGTCGTAATAGGCCTTCCAGGGTGTCCCATTGCATGGTAGAGTGAGCAAGGATATGCTCTACTTTGTTCAATGTCAATCCATCAGCCCCAGCTCATTCACCAAGGCCCTTCGCTAAAAGATTCTTTATTTTCCCATTTACAATGGTGTTTAAATTATAATAGATCTTGGGGTTAAGTATTTCAATCGGCTTCTGCATTACAGAATACTGGTTGAGATGGCACCAAATTGCAGCCATGCAGTTATGAATTGACGTTGCGTGATATTCTTTACCATCTTTACACTTCATTGCACATATAAATTTCAAAATTTGATCCTCAAGAACTTCTTTTGAGTTAATCTCCTTGATCTTGCCTTCATAACCTACATCAGACCGAAACTCTTCAAGTGCTCTGATCCAAACTTGTGTCACTTTATATGTTGATTCAACTCTCGCATTTCCACGAACAGTCTCAAGATCCTCTAATGAAGGTTCTGTATATTTAATATGCTAAAATTTTGTGCATATTGTTTTAATAAATACGTACTTATATATTTTTTTTTAAAAAAAAAACCAACCAAAAAAAAAATTACCTTTGCATTATTGTTCTTAACACTTGAACCAGCTTTTTTTACAATACTGGATACATTATTAATCGTGCTTGGCTCAGAATTACTCATAATGCTTTGCTCAGAATTACTCATCACGTTTGTCTCAGGATTAGTCATCACGCTTGGCTCAGAATTACTGATCATAGTTAGAGTAGAGTTACTACTCACAGTTGAAGCAAGGTTACTATTCGTAGTTGAGACAACTTTTTTCTTATTACTGACTTTTAAAATGTCATCTTTCTTCGTTTTACTGGTTCCAGATGAAATGGCATTCGACTTGAATCTACTAGCTCTAGTTCTTCGCTTGGGCATTAGAAAAAAAATATTACCGTATTCAACAATTTGCCCAGTATTGTATACTTATTTTTAAAACCTAATTACTTAGTCAATATAACGAATTTAGTTTTCTAAAAGCAAATTTTAAAAATTTTGTGCAATCAATAAAACAAAGTTAATATATTAGAAACTATCATTTTTATAACCTAACTATTTCTTTAATATTATGAATTTTTCATTTTGTAAAGTGTAAATAGTAGTATAAAAAAATTTGTGCAATAGCCGGTAATTAAAACATTAAATTATAAGTATATATTAAGCATAATAATAATGGCAATAATTTGTATTCGGAACAATTTATGATAAAAATTTGATACTATACATATTATATTGTTATTCACCAAAAGCATTAAAATATGACTTTTAATATGAAAGAATAAAATTGCTTCTTTCGAATAGTAAAATTACCAATGATGACATTTATGAAGGATATGAAAGATTCGAACAAAACATCTCGAAAATCATGTGAAATGGATTTTGAACTCTAATTATTTAACAATTTCCCGATATCATTCACTTTGGGACGCCAATACTTTAAATTTTGTGTAACTTAAAAACCTGGCAATATGCCCTAGTATCTGACGTAACAATAAGTAACTGAAAAAAGCACGGGTTGCCACATAAGGCCCGTGCAATAAATTCCTTAATTGATAATTTCGTTAAATTTCTACTCGTTGGAATCGGGATCATCATGTGATCGTCGCTTGCTAGTACATCACTGCTTAGCTGTCTTTTCGATACTTGAATGAATTGCTTCGCTCTTTACATGTAGTACATGTGTGAACAAAAATTTATATATTTATATTTACATTTAGGTTTAATTTTATGTAATAAATTGATAACTTGTGTTCGCGTACCACGTAAAGTGCTATCATTTTTTTTAATTTTTCTTTTCCTCGTTTCAAAGCTAAGTTATTATGAACTTGGTGAAGCTATAGCTATAGTCTGTTACACATGAGTTATTGAGCTAACTAGTGTTGAAAATCCCTTGTTTCATTTTAATTTCTTAATAACAAATTGACAAATAACGATAATAAAATCTATAAAAAATTGGGAAAGGCATAGACTATTATACCTAGAGATGGGAAAAATGCGCAATTTAAATAACATGCGCATGAATACGCATTAATGCGCACGTTATGTACATGCGCATAATATCGCATGATATAATTTTTTTTGATTTTATATTTTCCCTCCAGAAAATATCGAATATTTGTCAAAATTTTTCCCAAACTCTTCTCATCTTTATGTTCATTCATTTTCTTTTCGCAATTTTTCAAAACTTCTGCATTC